ACAGCACCGGTGGAGTGATAGGTGTTAGCCTGTTCACCTGCCGTGAGAACACCGGGTATGGCATTCGTGTTGGCTTGAGATGATTGTGCCATGCAGTGAGAGCGATGCTCACTGATGGCAGCGACCGATTCACGTTTCAGCTGTGCTTGGGTCGGAATGGCAACTGTCCATCGAATCTGATAGTGATCCGATGAGGAGAGGTTAATGATAACTCTCGCAAGTTGTCGTGAGACCGGAGTCACCCATGAGGGAAGGTCACAGCTGAGTAGATGGTCATCAGCAAGGCGGCAGAGATCGGCTGATACTGCTTCGAAGACCGAAGTCAATGAAGTCGTTACAACAACCACCGGGGCTACTGAGACGCCATCTGATTGATCAGAGCTCGCGTGTTCGCTTCCAGCGGGCAAGCTTGAGGACCCCGAGCCTGTAGCCGATTCCGACGCCGGGGCCGTTATAGGGCCGGGTACGGACATTGCTTTCACAGGCGTAAGGGCATCAGAGGTGTTTCTCAGAATGATCTGAACGTCGACGGTAGAACCAGCTTCAATGTCCTGGAAGCACTTGGACAGCAGTCTCTCGTTCTTGGATATGGATTCTCGGCATGCAGCCCCCAAGTTGTTAAGGAAGTGCTGGTCGAAGGCTTCCGGAGGACTAGAACTCGATGCAGAACCGGACATAAGGATTCAATAGTTAGTGGAGATTGAGTGCAGACAGATCAGATAGATCCACGGGATCCGAACAATGGTTTGAACGGACAATATTTGAAACGGTCGGGCGAGAGCGAGCTTTACGCTACAGGGAGCGCACGCCATAAGACTGAATGGCTATAGACTCTTATCAATTGTCCACATCGATCGAACTGGCGCGCGCTCAATGCAATATCTGATAAGTAACTGTGCTTGCAGCTGGCAGAAAAGGGAACCCCAGTTCGCATGGCATGACCCGATTCTGGGAACTTGGACCCTAGTAAGTGGAAGGGTGAGACCTGGGAAGATGTGCGATCTCCTTCATGTGATCGTGATGCAACTCTATTCTTTTTAGAAGTGATAGTAGAAATGGATTCAACACAGCATAGGGTAGGGGGATTGGGTATGCCTGGGATATAATTTGCACCGAGAGACTTGAATGCTTGGAATCTTTGCTATTCTCTGTGATCTTGAAGATGAAGTCCTTTCATCCTCTGCGGATCCGAATGTCGCCATATGCGACCCTCGTTTAGCGTCTTAATTCGTTTAGGTGTGAATGATCACCGATATCTGAGTAGTGGTTATGCTCTCACTGAGGATAGGGAACTCTGTTATTGATAGTTCATTGCCAAACGCACCATGGCTGCCTCACCGGCTGCTGCCGACGGACCCACGGAGGGTCGTGATTCTAGTAGCGGCGCCGAAACGGCCGACTTCTCTGAAAGTCCAATGGCGATGGCGGATGATGATCTTAAGGGAGCTTCCAATTCTGTGATTGATGCTAAGCCCATCGTGAAGAAATCTTTCTTCGCTCGGATGTCGCAGTTGAACCTTCTGGCACCTGATGGACGGTTTAGTGCTGTAT